GCCTTACAATCAGTGTGGGACCAGGCACCAAACACGCTATTCTGGCTAATTAACCGCTTCAAAATTTTATAATCTTTTAATAATGTATTAATTTCTATAATATAATAATTCCTTAATTTAAAATAAAATATTAATAAATACATCCCTGATAATCCCGGGTTACTATGGTCATGCAGGTTTGTTTACGCATTAAACTCATGGCCACGAGAAAAATATGTGTTCCCACGACAAAATTAAGTGAACCGATCAGGTCCTCTCGCCGTCACCATAAATATGAGCATAGCAACAACCATGTTAAATTTTTGCTCATTGTTGTTAATTTAACACCACTTACCTGTCTTAAACTGTCCTGATCGTCCATTTTGAAGCGGTTAATTAGCCAGAATAGCGTGTTTGGTGCCTGGTCCCACACTGATTGTAAGGCAAAACGTGATTGGTTGATTGGCGAGAACACGCTACGATTGGTCGGCGCCACGTGACCGGTATCTGATTGGCTTAAGTAGAAGGGAGGTGGAGTCCATCCATTTGTGGATTGGTTTGCCTCTTGACGCTTGAAATGTCTCAAAATCCACAAATAATGTATTTATTTGGAATTATGCAATGATTCTACCCCCATACTATGACATCATAACACATTCCATCTCTACTTTTCAGAAATAAACTTTGAATTAAGGACATGTTTTTTATGTGTTAATATATTTATGTATTTTATTAACTAATAATTTAGGATACTATCGATGCTTGATTATGGCATGGACTACTAGACCTTTTTAAATACAATGCTTTGAGCGCCCTCCTTTGGCAAAGCATCATAGCACATTACACAAGCTACAGAATCATATTCGTATCACGTTCAGTCTGAATCATTTGTATCTTTTAGGTGCAAGCCTAGAGCGATGGGCTGTTGATGAAAAGGGTTCTCTCTCTCCAGTGGTTATCATAGACTCGCTGGAATGCATGTGTTAAACGTGTGGCTGAGCGTCTGATTGGCCTGTACAATCTAACATTATGACTGAACATCTCTGTTTTGACTTATAAAAGTAAAGATATTTTATATAGAGTGGACTTCAGCATTAAACTCCCCAAAGATGCTGCACGTCGGCTCAGACAGTCAGTTGACTCGAGGCTGATTCCTTCTGAACGAATCATTTAGACCGGTTTTGTGAAACGTTACATAGATGTTCATTGTAAAAGATTCTTTTCAAAAGAAAGATTCGTTCAACTTAAGATAAACATCCGGTGCGCATGCGCAGACAGTGGATAATTGGGCGCGCAACTGCGGGCATGTCTGTCTCGTGGATTTTAGACTGAACTGCTTTCACTGACATAGCTGGTACGTGTGGTCATTCCATACAGATGGGTTAGTCTGTCGCTTTAATAACTTGCACTATATTATTTTAAGTAGCATAGATAATTAGCTCACCGTCAGCCTCAACAAGAAAGGATTAAATTTGACCACAGGAAGGCAACAGGCAAGTTTAACTCGAACAACTTGTCCCATACTTAAATATTGGTGCGGTTATGTGCAAACAACAACAGGAGATAGTGAGACACTGTTATCCATGAACACGCAGACGTAGTCATGAGATATGTTGTGTTCCTCAATTGTAAGGCGCTTTGGGTAAATGAGTTTGCTAAATTAATAAATGTAAATATGTGTAAGAGCTGGGATTGCACGAATAACTTCACTAGGGAACAGGTATGGTGCTATTCTACTTTTATTCTAATCTTTTTCTAGTTTGTGAAAAAATACACATTTAAAATATAAAATTGAGTGAGTTTATTCAAATGATAAATCTTACTTTTTTTTCTTTTTTGTAAACACTAAAACTGTTTTCCAACTATAGTATGTATTTATTTTGATGCCAATACCTAGTCGACACGCATGACTGTGTAACTTGGTTTTCAATCTCTGAGACAGTTGCTGGGGTCTGGCAAGCCATGTGAATGTGGTCAGAGTTCACACATTCCTCCAAAATGGGTCAGATCTGCTTTGAGAAAGGACTAAAACTATCATGCTGACTCCATTATATGTAGAGTTATTGGATTACTTTTTTTGTAAACACTTGTAAATCCTCAAATTAATTTGTACTCACTGTACTGATCTTATCAGGCTCTAACTGGATGGTTTTTAAAATAAGGTTAGCCATCAAATTAATCAGCCACATGCAGAGAATATCTGTATGTGAATTTTCCATTTTAGGGACCATTCATTTTGGTTTTGGTTTGTTTATTCAGGCAATCTATTTAGCCTGATACTTTTAAATTGGTGTCAGATGTCTTTGATATAGTAACAGTTATTACTCATGTCAATTAAATTATGAACAATTCTTTGTGACTATATATTTCAAGTTGGAAAAGACGTTTAGTTCCCACTTTAAGTGAACCTTAGTTACCAGGTCATCTACAAGGTTGATTAAAATGCTGATCAGTTCAAGAAAAGATGAGACATAAACGCATGAAAGTATGATTGAAATGTAAAAAAAATTTTTTTTTATAAAACACGTTTATTCTGTGGCACCTAAAATTGTTCTTATAGGAGCCAATGGCTCCTTACCTCGAATGTTTTGTTTGGAGTCATATATATATATATATATATATATATATATATAATTTCCCCCCCAGAAATAATACAAGGAAAGTGCTTTTTAAAAACGTACTGTAGACTATTAACAACTATAAATGTTCTATAAAAACAATGAACAGCAGCTTTCAGCCTGTCACCATGATGCAAACATATACATACAGTAATAGTTCTTTAGAGTTTTTTTTTTAATTCGATTGTGCTGCTTTTCCATTGTTTTTTCTATGGAAACATGGACACATTTGACTGTTGTGCTCACGTCTCTTGCAGCATCTCATGCATGAAATGGCTTTCTAAAAACTCAATTACGCTCAAGTTAAAAGAACTCAACTCCCATCTTCTAGCATTTTTTTTCCTTTTCCACTGCCTGCATCGCATCTTTAGTCAACACAAAAGTGCATTCTGTGTGAATGGCACCTTATGGTCCTTCACAGAGCGCGTCACATGTGAGCGGTTAATCACGTACGCCGACATGCGGTTGGATCATTATCTGTTATCATTAGCATATTGTCAAAGTGTCTAATTCTAATGTTTGGTAATATTTCTATTCAAAATCATGATTCCTCGTTTTCTAAAATAAACTTTCATTGAGGGATTGAAAACATTTATTATATATTATATATATACAGACTTATGGTGTATTTAAGCTGTCTATTGCTATAGCAAAGCTTACTAAGCTGGTTTGCTGCTTTGACCGGTCACCCAGGCTGATTTTAAAGGGGTTCTATCTGGTCAGGGTGGTCTTAGCTGGTCAAGTTGGGAGACCTGCTGAAAGACCAATCAAGCTTAAACCAGCTAAGACTAGACAACTAGCCTAGGCTGGTGTTTAGCTATTTTTTACTGATTCAGCTGGTTTTAGCCATTATTAGCTGGCTTTTTGCTAAATAAGCTGGGTTTAGCTGGTTTCATGGTATCAACATGTTAGTAACATGCTAGTAACTTGCTAATCATACTAACAACATACTTGTAACATGGTAATCATGCAAGAAACATACTATAACCATGCTAGCAACATGCTAATCCTGTAAAAACATGCTGTTAACAAATTAAATCATGTTAGCAATGTGCTAAATCATGCTAATTACATGATATCTAACAACATACTTGTAACATGGTAATCATGTTAAAACAGGCTAGCAACATGATAATCATGTTAGCAACATGGTAATCATGCAAGAAACATACTATAACCATGCTAGCAACATGCTAATCCTGTAAAAACATGCTGTTAACAAATTAAATCATGTTAGCAATGTGCTAAATCATGCTAATTACATGATATCTACATCTATCTAATCTATCTAAACTTCCAACCTTCAAGCTATTACAATTGCTTCAAACTTTCACAAAAGGCTTTTTCAAGCCAACTTCGAAGTTTGTTTGCGAACTTTACTCATCTAGTTTTATGTTGATGTAATAATGTTATCCAATACAAAACATTCTCAAACACTAAGCATGTCCTCAGATATTAAGACATAAGAAAAACACATTTCAATATATTTCAAACTCCAAATATTCACTTTTAAATGGGCAAGAAATGTAGTTTAACATTAGTCTCTTGTCCACGTTTTAATATGAACATTTATATAAAATATAACCTGGGATGCCATGTGTTCTCCATGTGCACTACGCTCATTTCAATTGACAGTATGTTAGGGCTTTTCATACTTGAATAAGTTAACGCTGGGTCATTTTAAACCCCTGGTAAACAGAGTCCTGGGTTAGCTTGTTTCACAATGCTCATACTTTACCTGGGATTAACAATTCAATCTTGGTATTATTTATAATCTGCATTTCACACTGTGCATTCCTAGTGTGGAGGTAAGTGCATTCTATTATGTAACTGAGGTCACATTTATAAAGCGTTACAGTTATCCCTGCTATAGTGCTCTTTGTCTACCCCATGTCAGATGTAATAATGGCTTTCTGTGATTTTTATGTTTTTTTTTTTTTTTTTTTTTTTTTTTTTTTTTACAGGTTACCAATGAAATCATCCCGGTCCTCTCATATTCCTATATGTCCGTTCTGGTGCCTGTGTTTCTGCTGACAGATTACCTACGCTACAAACCTGTGCTGATCCTTCAGAGTTTGAGTCATGTTTCCATTTGGCTCTTGTTGCTTTTGGGAACCTCATTACTGGAGATGCAGTTTATGGAGTTCTTTTATGGCATTACCATGGCTGCCCGTGTGGCTTACTCCTCGTACATTTTCTCGCTAGTACCAGCGACTGTTTATCAGCGTGTAGCCAGCTACTCCCGCTCATCTGTGCTCATGGGAGTCTTCACAAGCTCTGTGCTGGGTCAGATATGTGTGTCACTAGGGGGCATATCATACAGGAAGTTAAGTGCAGTCTCTCTGGGGCTTGTCACTTTTGGGCTGCTCTTGTCCTTCTGCCTGCCATGGCCCAAGCGTAGCTTGTTTTTCAACCAAGCCCGTCTGGACGAGAAAAGGAAGGAAGCAGCTCAATCGGAATTGGCCAGAATGAAGCCTGAAGAGAAGGATGGCAGTATGGCTGCACAAGGCAGTAACCACAAATCATCTTCCTGGACAAATTCAGTGTTTATTCAGATGTTGAAGGAGTTAAAGAATGTTGTGAAAGTACCTAGTTTAAGGCTTTGGAGCTTGTGGTGGGTGTTCAACTCCACTGGTTACTATTTAGTTGTATTTTATGTGCACATCCTGTGGAATGAAGTCTACCCTGCCACAGAGAAAATACATGTCTACAATGGAGCAGTTGAATCTGCCTCTACATTATTGGGTAAGATGGATTATAGTGTGTTGTAGTCACCATATAAATAACAATAAATACTGATAATCTCAGCCACAAAATCAGACTTTAAGTAGCATCCACTCTGATTTCTTAAGCTAATAAATGAGCAAATGTTGGCAAAAGAACATAAAAGGGGCATGCTTTCTTGCCAACCAACTGTTCATTAATTTCAGAGTGGACATCACTTACTTAAAGACTGATTTAGCAATTGTCATGATTATAGATATACAATATCAACCTACAGGCCACTTAGATTTCTAAATCATCAAAATCATCATCCAACTAATTTATAAGGATAGCAGTAAATTATTGCAGAAAGATTAAAAAGATGGCATTAAATAAAAAATTTACTCTGTAGATTATCTTTGTATTTTTGACAATTTTCAGCCAGCTTTGTATTGTTAAAATGTCAGGAGTATAAATGACTTGAGTACTCTTTCTCCAGGTCACATGCACCTGGATATCCCAGTTTATTTGTCAGCAAAAATCCACATAGATAAAACAAAATGTGTTATTGGTGGACATTTGACAGCTTTAGGGCTATAGATTAAACGGCTATAGATTATAAAAACTATAGATTAAACGGCCACATTATGTTCCTGTAAGGTCTAGTTTGTTGTTTTCACTTTTTTTTTTTTTAATAGTTCGAAAAACCTACTTTTTCAAGCTCGTCCTAGACCGTTTGTCCGATTTTCACAAAAATCGAGTCAGATTATCTTCAGACTGCTGACAAAAAAGTTATGGATTTCGTGTTGTAGACAAAACCGTTTTTGCATAGCGCCGCAACAAATTTAAGGCATGATGCCAAACTACGTCTGAGGCTGTATCTCTGCAAAGCTTTGACATATTGACACCAAACTTTGCCTGTGCCATTGTCAACTCACACAGAACACAACACATCAATTTTATAACAGCGCCACCTATTGGTCAAACTTGATAAGCCATTAAATCATATTTCTTGTGGTTGTATTTGTTTTTTCAGCCATTTTAACTGAAATCATCTTAAAATGGCTTCAACTAGGCCTACTCATTTCTGCAGTTGGTCTGATGCTTGCTTCTATAGTGCTTGGCCCCTTAATTGCTGCTTGCAGCTATATTTATTATTACAATTTTCTATAGTGGATACTCATACATACTGTACATTAACATGTTGTGATGTCTAATTCACTTTAGCAGACAAATTGATTATGTAGTATTAGATTTTAGTTTTTTGAAACATGAAAATAATTATGTTTATCTGTACTGGCCAGAGTTTCAATTTCACTATCAGGGTTCTCAGTGTATATGACAGGTCATTGTGGCTAACAGTTGTTGTTGTTTTTGTTTTGTTTTTTAACTAGGATTTAATAGGTAACATTATACATGCTGGTTTACTATTTGGTGAGAACAAGCAAAGTTCATGTTCCTCAACATTTGAGCTTTGGCATGACGCATGCTTGTAAAGCATAACTCCTTATTCCTGGTCCAGGAAAGCCACTTTCCTGCAGAGTTTCTTCCAAGTACACCCAAAGACCTTTATGACCTTTATGTTGATTTAGGTGCGTTTAATCAGAGTTAGAGCTAAACTTTGCAGGGAAGTAGCTCTTCAGAAGTAGGAATGAAGAACCCTGGTGTAAATGACACAAAAGTGGAAAATATTTTATGCACAGATCTGAACTTTGTGAGAATAGATGTTTTTTTTTTATTGGCATTGGATGAATATTACATGACAATCACACTTTTCGTGCTCCATAGGTGCAATCACGTCATTTGCAGCAGGATATGTGAAAATTCGATGGAATCTTTGGTCTGAGCTGGTGATTGGATTGATCACTGCGGCACAGGCCGGTCTACTGCTTCTCATGGGCATCACAGATAATATCTGGGTTTGCTATGTGGCATATGCCCTGTTCAGAGGCTTCTACCAATTCCTGGTGCCAATCGCTATGTGAGTTGTAGAAAACTATTTATTTATTGATTTATTTTTATTATTATTTAAAGGATTTTTTTTTATGTGTTGTCTTTGTTAAATAAATGGCATTAACTACGCTGGCACACATTGCATTCAATGTTTCAAAGTCACTGTTTTGAAAGTAGATATGTATGCACCTGTGAAAACATTATTTCATGGAGAGCAAGAATTTTGCTTTGAAGTTCAAGTTTGTTGTAGTTTGCCACATAAGGAGCTTTTAACTAAAACTAAACACTAAGGAAATTAAACAATTTAATTAAAATAAACTTATATATTATATATAAACGTATATAAATAAACTTATATATATATATATATATATATATATATATATATACATACAGATATCTGTGCTCTGCATTTTGTTCTTTTAACTCATTTTGTATTTTTCTTCTCAGTTTCCAGATTGCCTCCTCTCTCACTAAAGAACTGTGTGCTTTAGTGTTTGGAGTAAACACTTTTCTTGGAACAGTCCTGAAAACGATCATCACTATCATTGTGGTAGATAAGAGGGGATTGGCTTTGAATGTTCACTCTCAGGTGTGTAAAATTCTAGACTGACTTCTGTTAATAGTTACACTATTGGCTATGGATATCACCAGCTTGTTAACAGAAGAAGAAATTACAGTAACATTATAATTCAGAAAAGAAAGCAGAAAGATTTTGGCCTGATTTTGTTTCTCTCTTTCTTGCAGTTTTCTGTTTACTTCTTATACTTCACTCTGCTGACTGTGATTTATCTGGGCTGTAGTGCCTTTATCATCACATGTCATTACCGCAATCAAAGAGCAGAGGAGGAGACTACGGAAGTAGCCATAGCCACTGAACTTAGTCCTATGACAGCAGCTGCTAGTGATGGCACAACGGCAAATGGAACCAGCATCAAGACATGAGGTTCAAAGGAATTGTGTCTTCTGGTGGAGTTTCTCCGTTTTTTAATCTGTTACTTTAAAATCAGAACATTTGATTATTTTAAGTATGAGTAGCTTTTGTTTTATTATTTTTATGTTTGTCCTCTTGATAGGAATAGCGCTAGATTAAAAAAAAAAAAGGTCAGATATTTGATTTCGTTTAGTTTCCTTGGTCATTTAATATGGTTGTCTTTGTTAGTGTGAACAAAGATAATGTAAAATAATTTTTGTAAGTAATGTTTGGAAGCCAAACATGGCAAGTTTGGCTTTCTAGTATCTGATAGGATTACTTTTTTGACTTCATTGTTATCTTATTTGCAGATAATTATTAAAAAATGTAAACAATTACTACTGTTCAACCGTTAGTTCCAGTTCTCTAAATTGATTTGCCAAGCGGTTATCCAGGAATGCTGATATTTATTAAATGCCCTTAGAATATCTGATTGCTGTTCAGTAAAAGCTGGGGTATGGTTGTGGGATTTTTGCGTTGAGTGAGGACCATTTTTGTCAGTGTTTTCTTTCACTCCAGGATTGCTCAGAGTGGGGTTCTGCTCACCTGTAAGCAGGAGTAGAAAATCGCAGTGTTGGTAACATGGAATGATAACTGAATGTTACGAACAGGGATTGCTCCATAAACACTAAAGTTTGTGCATTGCTTGGTGACACACAAAGTTTGATGCTTTAGCACTTTTAGAAATATTTGCCATTGTTGAAGGGAAAAAAAAATTTTATTGACCATGTTTTGGTGGAAATGTAAGTTACTCAATATTAACTTTTTAGAACCTGTATAAAAGAAATAGCACACAAACAAGATTGTACACAAGACACTTGCTTGGTTCTACTGTATTTTGGAAATAAGTACTACTGTTATGTTTTTTAATATTTCATAGTGTGATGACATTAGGAGCTCCAGACCATGTTTAATTACAAATAAATTGTTACAAATTAAGTGTTAAAGTAATTTTTCATTTGCATGGCATTTTGTAAAATTCCTATTGTTTCAAACCAGCATTACAGGAAAATATGCAGTAGCCCCTCACTGCAGAACAAAGATCCAGGGGGCGGGGTTGGATCCACATCTAGGGGGTGGAGATGGGTGGGTTTAGGTATCGGGGTGGAGACGGGTAGGTTTAGGTATATGTAAGGTGCGAGGAGTTGAATCTGGATCCAACCTCACCCCCTGGATCTTGTGTTCTGCAGTGAGGACCATCTCAAAATATGCCTTAATATCCTATCCTACAGCACCCGGTGAGCAAGACAAAGGTGACTGTGGCAAAGAAAAAAAAATTAACGAATGGGAAAAACAGACTTAAAGGGGATGTCTAAAGCCAAGTTCAGACTACATGACTTGCTGTCTGTCTTGAAGTTGTGGTGTTCACACTAAGTAAATGATCTGCAACAGGGAGTGACACACTACACGAGCTGACAACAACTCTGTCACCCAATGACTCTATCCAGTCCCCAAACCACGTTTGGTCACAAAAACACACGCGAGAAGTAGAACGGGAATGACGTGAAGTAACAGGAGAAACGGGAGTTGTTTAATTGAAAATGGACATCGGGAAGTCATGTAGTCTGAACAGCACAGCAATCTGCCGACTTTTTAAGTTGTGTAGTGTGAACTTGGCTATATTTAACATGCTAGATATTTGTTTGGCGTCGGGGACGCATCAGCGCATCTCTTTGATACGTCATTGGGTAGTTCACACATAAAGATTGCCAAGTGCTGATCACCCACCGATTTTCCCCTGATCACAGCCAGACTTGTCCCAGCCCAAACTCATTGCCTTGCAAATCGGGCTTAAATCAGGCTTAAAATCCTGTAGTGTGAATTTGGCTTAATCTGAAGTTTAGTGATCTCCGTGCGAGATGTTCATCTTAAATTAAATTGTCGTTCAGCCAGTCTGTGTTCTGTGATGAGATATCGAATATTTTGTTTGCGATTGTGGTTGCTGAATGAATGCACTTACTCAGCCGCTGTTGTTTTAATAGAGAAACATTATTGCAATTTAGAATTATTGGAATTACTGAATTCCACTAAGAATTTCACTGTTAAAATATGTTTTTGCCAGTTTTCATAATGTAGACATAGTGCATATCTATTTTTTTTATATTAATTTTAAATAGCCTAAAATAAATCGGTACACTAGATGAGGTAAACTAGTATTGAGTCCACATTCTATTGATTTGTGCTTATTGGGGAAAGTGCAATACCAGAAATGTAAAAATAACAAAAAACTTTTCGATTATAATTTTGAGCAAAAAAAATATATATTTTTAATCAGTTTAATTAGCACAACGAAAATGTGGCAAAACGTTTTCATTGACTAAAACTATTAAAATGCTCAGATATTTAGTTGACTAAAACTTGACTAAACAAAGGACAAGGTTGACTAAATAGGAGTAAAAAGTACATTTGACACCAAGACTAATTTAAAAGACTAAGACTAAATTAAAAATGGCTGACAAAGCTAACACTAGAGGGATGCAGGTAGTTGTAAATGAAATGCTGGCACTGAAGGTGATTCATGTTCCAATGACCTGATTGGTTGGTGATTGTTGCAGACCTGTCTAACACAGCATAACTATTTTCTCTCTCATAATGGTTGAGAGATAAAGTAAGTGTATGCCAGGCTGAAGTAAGGAGTCTAGACTTAAATTGAGAGTTTGAACCCCAAAAATGGCCAGTGTAGCAATGATAAAGTTAATCTGATGCAATCAAATGTTCTGGATTTTAACCAAAGCCTGTTTACAGGTGCATCTCATTAAATTAGAATGTCGTGGAAAAGTTCATTTATTTCAGTAATTCAACTCAAATTGTGAAACTCGTTTATTAAATAAATTCAATGCACACAGACTGAAGTAGTTTAAGTCTTTGGTTCTTTTAATTGTGACGATTTTGGCTCACATTTAACAAAAACCCACCAATTCACTATCTCAACAAATTAGAATACTTCACAAGACCAATAAAAAATTTTTTTTTAGTGAATTGTTGGCCTTCTGGAAAGTATGTTAATTTACTGTACATGTACTCAATACTTGGTAGGGGCTCCTTTTGCTTTAATTACCGCCTCAATTCGGCGTGGCATGGAGGTGATCAGTTTGTGGCACTGCTGAGGTGGTATGGAAGCCCAGGTTTCTTTGACAGTGGCCTTCAGCTCATCTGCATTTTTTGGTCTCTTGTTTCTCATTTTCCTCTTGACAATGAGAAACAATTGTCTGGTGAGTTTGCTGGCCAGTCAAGCACACCAACACCATGGTCATTTAACCAACTTTTGGTGCTTTTGGCAGTGTGGGCAAAATGTAAATACATTTACATTTATTGAGATGCACCTGTATGTAGACTGCTGCAAAAAGAGATCTTAAATCTCTTTGACTCACTTTATTTACTATTTATAAAAGATTGCTGGTAGAAAGTCCATCAGCACTGTGAGGTTTCTCTATTTATATCACTGTTTGTTATGCTTGTCTGTGTTTGCAGATGGAAACATCATTCCAGGTTACAACTAATTTATTTTTGTGTATTATAAGTGAGTCATTGAATCATTCACTCCAAAAAAAATCATCCAGAAACAAAACCTGTTGCTGAGACACAGTGGTTGATCTTGCTTTGACTTTTCATTGGTGGAGCAAAATAGAGAGTAACTAGGAATATTGTTATATATACAGCAACATTCAAACATTTGAGGTAGGTAAGACCAGTATCAAGTAATTGACTTTTTATTTTCGAAATAAATATTACAGAATTTTTGTTTATTAATCTAAGTGTCATTCAAAATACAGGTAATAATGTCGCTAATTTTTAGCGGTCACATTTGAACTGTAGAATACAGCAGGCTGTAAAATACAGAGAACTGCAACTCTTTAAAATCATATTCAGGTTATGTGTAAAAAGCCAAACCAAAACAATGATTTACATAGTTTTATTAATAGTCGTCATCTTTCTTTAAAGTCAACCAGTCATTTTGCACTACATCATGGAATGTTTGATTTGATTGGGTTGCAAATTATAAAAATGTAGAAAGGTTACATAGATAAGTTTACATAAAATCAAATACAAATGGGCAGACGCCACTGGAGCGCAAGCATAGAGCGCAGGCGACAGAGTGCTTTGGAAAGAAGGAGAAAGCGTTTTCAACGCTTTTGTTTTGAAGGAGAAAAAAAGCATATTGCTGGACTCGGTCGAGACCAACGAGAACATTTGTCGAGTTAATAAAAACAAAACTGTGATTTCCCCCCCTGAATTTAGCCTTAGTCTATTTTTATTTATATATTTTTAAATGCTCAAGTATTTCATTGAATGTTTTCTGCTAAGACAAAATGTTTTTGTTGTAAGGCTAATGGTGTAAGGAGCAAAAACATATCTTTGTTTGAAAGAGATGGCTGTCACACAGCAGTTAATCCATAAAAAATGAAGTCAAAATTTAAATCTAAAATACATGTAAATGAACATATACAGTATCACCATCAATCACAAAACACTTAAAGTCCCCATGAAATCAAAATGTAATTTTTTTGGGTGTTAGTATCAATATGTTAGTCTTAAGGTTATTTATAAGGCAGTGTGCTCCAAAACAGTGACAAAATTCGCATTTAGAAGATATAAGCATTCAAAGCTTGCAGTTCGTCACTTCCGCCAAAACAGCTCAATGATTTTTTTGACGTCACATCGTACTTCAGCTTCTCATCAAACTTTCTGTCCAATCAAATGTTCTCTAGAATCCGAAGCGCCCGCCCCTTACACTATAAAATAGAAGCTGAAGCCGCGGCTGAAATCGGTCACTTGTCCGTAAGTTTCAGTTTGTGGTGTGACTCAAGGAAAATTTTGGTTTAGCAGACGTTTTGGTTCACTCTGCAATATAGCTGTTCTCAATGCACAGTACAATAAAAGCGCTGGTACAGCCACGTGGCAACTGCTGAATTAGGTAGCCTTCTTGGAGTGAGGAAGCCATGCCAGTGACGACATGACTACCTGTTCGCCATGTTTCACAGTAGCCGTCTGTCTGCCTGCTTCCACGAGTGCTTGATCCATGCCATACCATCTTCTCTGGCCTATTAAAGTGGATATGTGTTAGATCCATTTACCAGGCATCATCATCAAGAACATCTCGACAATCAAATGAATAGATGTGCACATTATCATTCATCTTGCCCCCTGAGCCACTAAAGATGGATTCCCAGTTGCTGAATAATTCCTCATCCTGTGAACATTTTAAACAGCTCTGTAAAAGACTGTATTAAACAGACGACAGTATATTCTGTAAAAAAGTAAGGATCTTACTTGAAGATTGACTATGGGTAACAGTTCCCTGTCATTCTGTCGAACAATGCTGTATAGATCCTGTAACCGGGATGACAGGAAAGCCCTGAATGTTCCTTTGAGCCCAATGGCTTGAGCCTGTAACAAGCACTTGTGATCTATACCTCTGATACCCTGCATGTCGCCACGCTGGGGTGAGTTGAGAGCAATCAGGTGCAGCTAGGGTGACAAAATCAGGTGACATAGTTATACATTAGATAATTTAAAAGAAGTTTATGTTCTAATAAGATTACAAATATTTTAGATTATACAAAAGGACATCACCTGACATTGTGCATGATAATTGTGCTACAAATAATTATTAATAATTCCGTCACTTTAACCAAATGGGTTGTACATTTTCTGTCTTTGTTTTTATACACTACTGTTCAAAAGTTTGGGGCGGTGAGATTTTTTGGTCACACTTTATTTTAAGGTCCAATTCTCGCTATTAATTAACTATTAACTACGACTCTTGTCTCAAACTCCTAATTACTGCTTCGTAAGTTAATTCTTAAGTTTAGGTATTGGGTAGGATTAGGGATGTAGAATATGGTCATGCAGAATATGCACTTTATAAGTACTAATAAATAACCAATATGCTAGTAATATGCATGCTAATAAGCAACTAGTACAATTACTAGTTATTAGTGAGAATCGGTCCCTATACTAAAAGTGCTAATGGTTTTTAAATGTTTCTGAAAGAAGCCTCCTTTGCTCACCAAGGCTGCATTTACTTGATCAAAAATAAAGCAAAAACAGTCATATATTTAAACATGATTACAATTTAAAATACCTGTTTTCAATTTTTTCCTGTAATAGCAAAGCTGGTTTTTCAGCAGCCATCATATTCTTCACTGTCACTTTTGATGAATTTACTGCAACTCCAAATGATTGATTACACATTTTTGAATGGTAGTGTATGACAGTAAAATAATTTAAGGCTAGTTAAGGCTAATTTGAGCATTTTAATGTGACATATCAGAAGAACTTCTGTGGCAAGAGCTTTTTTAGTTTTTACCAAGCACTGTGTTGTGTATTTCCCTCGTGAATTTTCTCTATTATTTTCAATCCCTATTATCCTCTACTATTTCTAAAAAAGGGAAACACAATAGATGTGTAACACTTACGTTTTGTTTCTCAAAATGACAAAAAAAGCATTTTGAAATATCCATCAATACTACAGTAAATAAAGGAAAATGTCCAGTTACATTAATTAGTTTCAATGATGTCTGTGAGTAAGTTACATTTAATGTAACATTAACTTCTCATCTAAATTAAATTATGGGCTTATTGGTGGTCTTCCTATTGATAGCATATATTAGTATGTGTTGAAATTAGTACAAATGCTGCTATAAGTAAATTGTCAACTTTTTCACCTTGTGTCATATGTAGAATAATGTCACCTTCTTTAACTCAGCATTTCATTTTTTATACCCAATTTTTGTGAATGCATGTTATTGTAAGCAAGCCTTTCAGCAATTCCATTAGCAGATGATGATTGTTTACAGTTTGACGCAGATTACTTCCTACTATAAATAGTAGGAAATTCGTCATAGGGTGTAGGAAAAAGATGAACAGACTAACACACAATTATTCCTCATTTAAATGTTAAGGTACTTACCACACGGCCTGATGTGTGTGTGTGTGAGCTGGAAGCTTAGCCTCTTGAATGACAGCAGATATGAACGTACACACCACCACAGGCCTGTCAGGATAGACAAAATGATCCGGGTGCCTACTGGCAATGTGCTTCATGGAATCAGGGTAGTTCTGGTAAATTGGGTCGACTGATGGAGAGGGTTGTGGATCAGTTGGAAGATTGTAGTGTGGAAATATATATCCATGGTATGGCTCATTTGATGGCTGCAGTCTGGGATCATGTGGCACCGGGTACTGGGCTTGTTGGGGAGAGGTTGTGGGGTAATCCTGAGAGTACTGAACCACTTGCCGAGGTTCCACTGCTTCCATCTGGTTATCCTAGAAACCAAAATGCCAAAATCATAGCAAGAAGAAGAGACATACAGTATATGATCATACAATATGATGATAAATTGCGTTTTAAAAGGTGGTGACATTTACTGTTGGTGAAATTTTGTGTGCGAAATCCAGTCACTTCAGTAGGAATCTGTGTGACCTTTATTGTCATCGACATTTTATTGTTTATCATGACTTTATTGTTAATCATGACTTGAATTGTTACTTGTATTAGTCATGTGTATATTTAATAGACAATTGTAGTTTGTGTATTACATAAGGGTTTATTAATTACTTAATAAATTAATAATTAATTACTTAATTACTGAATACATTTTCTGTTACTCACCAGACACTTGGGGAATGGAGTACATTCTCCAAGCTGAAATGAAACAACCAGAAACATCAGTCATTTTAATGTTCCATCCATCCATCCATCCAGGATTATCCACTTGCAAGGTAAACTGTGTTTACTCTGTTCTACGAATTACAGCAAACCATTTGTTTCTATTTTTCTGTAGCTTTTGGCTATCTGTAAAAAGATACCTACAATTTTTTTGTTTGCGAGTCATTTATACAACTGTTCTTTTAAATTTTGGGTGTGCTTTTGTGACATTCAAGCAGAACACTAATGTTGCCCCTCAGTTTTTTTTGCCACCCAGTAGGTGTAACCACAGTGACTTGTTTCTGCTGTGAAATCATGTGCATACCCTCTCTTGACTGCGAATGTGAATGAACCTTCTATTTGATACGTATGTCTCAAAACCAAACTGGGTGTTAATCACTTGCCTATTGGTTTGAAAATGCCCACTGATTGGGAAAGGCCGCTAGCATTCTGCAGAATGTTCTATTTGTTCTACTTGTTCGGTTTAAATGTTCAGTCACTCACACATGTGAATTTTTGCACAGACAACAGCACAAAGACACACAAATGAAGTCCCAGGTATACAGTCGCACACATTTAAGGTGAAAGTCTTTCAAAGTATACTCTACAGACTATGAGCGCAAATGGATGTGTTTGCACATGTGCACAATGAACCTAATGGACCTTTGTTCATATGTGCTGCTGTCTGCGCACAAGACTGTGTGGACAGCAAAATAAGGCTTAAGTTTACTCTTCTTACATAAAGATGGAGAAACAATAATAAAGCCTAGACAATTACCATGACTTCTCTGATGCCATCCTGTACTCTCATATAAAGTTCTCTGTTGTCTTTTACATAGATTAGCGTGCCTTCTGGATATCGGATAGTTGTTGCAGCCATGGTGTCAACAGGCCTCAAAACCATAACCTGAGGAAAAGAGAACAGACCAACTAACTAGAAAAGAAAATGACCTAATAGATAATTAGTTCCCACAGACAGTAAATAGTGTTTCAGTAGTGAAAACTCTCCCCAGTTAAATGTCCAGGAGGCCCAGGAATACTGATTGCTAAAGGATCAAGTTTTTTAAATAAAAAGGCAAACTCTTTTCATTTATTGGCTTTTGCATTTAATGGATAGAACAGTTTGAGAGAAGACTGGAAAAGTGACGTGATATGTGGCCAAGTATGGTTACACATACTCGGAATTAGTGCTCTGCATTTAACCCATCCTAAGTGCACACACACAGCAGTGGGCAGCCATTTATGCTGCGGTGCCCGGGGAGTAGTTAGGGGTTCAGTGCCTTGCTCAAGGGCACCTCAGTCGTGGTATTGAAGGTGGAAGAGAGCGCTGTACATTCACTACCTCCACCTACAATCCCTGCCGGTACGAGACTCGCAACCTTTGGGTTACGAGTCCGACTCTCTAACTATTAGGCCACGACTTCCCCCGTGGCCTAATGGTTAGAGACAAGAAATTAGATCAGGACATGAAACAGGTCAGATTCGAATCTGCATCCCTCGGCACCCAAAATATATTTTACGTGTTGAGTGGCTGTGTGTAAACTCCTTAGTTTGTGAGGGTCTGTGTGCACCTGGTAGCAATGATCCTGGGGGTCCAGGTGGTCCTGGTGAGCCAGGACTACCTGGGCAACCATCATAACCGATTCCTGGGGCTCCAGCAATAGATTCTTCTCTAGGGCCCTATACCGAAATGAACATTTAGTCAAGTAAGCTACTTTAGACAATAAGAAACAATGGTTGATTCAGAATCTAAGAAGCATTTTGTTTGTGCTGTCACCGGAGGTCCAGGTCTTCCAAGTGGACCTTGTGCAACTATGATGAGGGTCGTAGTAACCTATTCCTAGTTCTCCCTTCTGTCCTTTAGGACCAAGTTCCCCTTTAATTTCATGCTAAGGCATAACATATTACATAATCAAGTACAACTTCCATGTGCTGCACATATTCAGACATTACATGTAAACAGGAAACTTGTGTAAGTTTGGAAACATCATACCTTAAATGCATAAATGTCAAAGGTTGTAGTGAGACCTATGGCAGACAACGTTGACATTTAAATCATGCTCACATTTCGCAGTTTAGAAAAAAAAATTCACTGTTCTGAATCTTTATTCAACTGTTCCTATAAAAAGGCTTGATGTGTCAATAAATCATACCTGGCAAGCCAGGGATGCCAGGTCCTCCTCTTTCACCCTTGTCCCCTTTGATAGCTGAGGTAATGAAATTTGAGATATATGTATATTTATTCAGTTAGCAGATACTTTTATCCAAAGCAATATACAAATTCTTCTGAATAATTCTTTGGAATAAGAGCACACTGATTCATCGCAAACAAAATATTCTTATACACATATTCATGCAAAACTAAACTGGAATATGATAACACCAGATATGGATTGGAAAATGACAAATCTGATTCATTTACTCACCATAGGGAAATCTTGAGCTGCCATCATCATAACCCTTAGGGTAGATCAAATTAAATATTGGGAGCCAGTACAAATGCTATTTTTATAACAAACAAACCCACAAGATATTAGTTGCTTGTATCTTTTTAAAAATATTAATTACTCATATCAAATCGTCCCACAGAAACTGGAAGTCCTGGAGGACCAGGTGGCCCAGGTAGACCAGGAGGTCCCTAAAACCATTTAGAAATCTATAGTATTGCATAGAGTATAATCTACACTTTTGTAGTAACAATGAAAACAAAATAAATGGTATTAAGTTGTTTATTTCTTACATGATAGCCGTAACCATATCCTTCACCTGAATCGCCTTGCTGTCCTTTTTTACCATTTAGACCAGGGCGACCCTTTTGATTAAGAATATTTAGTGATTAGGAATATACCAAATTATGAAAATGATCAAAAAATTCTAATTCGATAAAAAAATTTAATAAGTTCAGGGATCTTAGTCAAGCCCATATTTTTCAAGGTATTAATCTTTTTGACAGATAGCACCTGAAAAAGAAGAAAGAAGCTGGACAAATACACAACATGATCCCATAGTTAGAAATTTTTTTATGTTTGTCTGTTATGGTGCCTAGACTGACACATATGTATATAAAAAAATTGTATTACAAATTCATTGTATTAAAATCTATAGTGTTATAGACCATTTAAGGTACTAACTTATATGGCTTTAACTTCTTGCTATGTTAAAACCTTTTAAGAAAAGGTGACCATGCCCATTATTGTTTATTTTGGCTGGGAATGACCATGCTACAGTTAAACATGATTTTGATAACTATTCATAATGGGACATAGAATTTTATATACTAGTTTAATTCGGAGTGAACAAATGTCAGAAAGCGTTTGTGTGCATCTGAGTAATGAGAAGGATTTGGAACAAACCCACCAAATTTGGAGTTTCTGTGATTTACGGTCTACGATTTTTAAAACATTATGTGTTGACATTCTAACAGCTCCCTGTTTTTTCTACTTAGAGGGGCACGATATGACCAAAATCTTTACCATCATATAAGTAATGTTCAACCAAAAGCTTTACCACAATATATGGAATTTTCAACCACAGTAAGAAAAGATATCACAATATAGTAATTCTGCCTGAAATCAGAGACGTTACTAAATGAAATTAAAGGCATATCCTATACTTCTCAACATTGTCAGTAAATGACTTCTAATTAAATTTGGAAAATGTTTAACTCGCATCAGACTCTCAACTGGCTATTTTATCTTCATTGATGCTTTTTGGGAATTGTTTACTCTTGCTTAGAACAAAACTGACCATTATCTAAATCCTTTAATGACTAATATCTACATTCCTGAATGTTCAGGCGTTTGACCGAGCATCAGACTTTTCCAGACTTTTCACCTGTGATGACCAATCGTATTTTCATTAATACCTTTTACTTAGAACAAAACCATCCATCATTTAAATTTCATAAAAGAACAATACCAACCAATATTTAAATCACTTTATTGCCTTTTGAATGCTCAGACATGTGCCCGAGTCACTGCGGCACTGATATATGTGTTCATATATCAGTTGTATTTATTGCATATAAATACAATATAGCTAGATCTAAATCTGGAGGATACCTCACATCATTGTTATATATTAACATATCACCCAGCCCTAAAACTTACTCTTTGGTAAAGCAGTATGTAAAGCTGCTTTGAAACTATGTGTATTGTGAAAACACTATACAAATAAATTTTACTTGTTTCGAAATTGATGCCAGTTTTATTTTGAAATACAAAAAAGACAGACAGCATGAATACGTTTTTTATTAAATTGAATAATAATTAACTTAATTCTATAATTGTATGTCATAAGTATATAATTGTTTAACAGCAAATGCATATGTTTGTTAAAGTAGTTATACTTTTTATTTGGAGCCAACTGAATGTATAGTTAAATTATATTGGCTGATGTGTTGCTACTGACAGTCACTGCAAAAGTCTATGATACAATCTTTACATACGTTAAATGGCCAACAATCTTGCTGGATTTGATTAGAGATACTCACTGGTCTGCCTGGTAATCCTATTTCTCCTTTTGGTCCAGGTGGCCCAACCGGTCCCTAATGAGTGAAAAATATACTAGCAAATAACATATACTCTTGAAATATCAGCAGCATTAAGAATCAATGTATTTCTTAATAGGGCAATTTTGCATGTAAAAAATTGAGCTTTTTGTGTGGTATTCCTCAGTGAGACAAAAAGCAAAAACTCACCACAGGCCCCTCTGGTCCAGGTGGTCCTGGCTCACCCTAAAACAGAGAGTAACTACAATGCGTCTCACAATGCTATGGATGCTTAGAAGTTCTGATCTAAACTCATCTATCTGAATGAAAGCTGCAGGTCTCTCACCAGCTGTCCAGTCAGCCCCCCCAATGTAACTGGGCCTACCACTGGAGTCTACGATCAGGCCAGGTTCACCCTTTTGACCCTAAAGAGAAAAGAGCATGAACATATGTAATGTGAGTTGCATAACACTGCTGTTCCCAGGGCTGAATTTACCCCTTACTGTGACAAAGTCATTTTTAACATAGGTTACACTTTATTTCGCTAGTGCACATTCTACTAACTACAAGTAACTTTGCAACTACATGTCAACTAACGCTCATTAGTGTATTAGTAGACTATTAAGGCTAATAGAGTAAGTTGATAAGTACTTGCTAAGTTATTTATAGTCAATAGAATGTCTTTTGGGTGACCATCAAAAAGTGTTAGCAGATATTTAGCAGACAGTCTACTGATACTTCTAAGGACTGGTAGTTGGCATGTAGTTGCAGAGTTAATTATAGTCAGCAGAATGTCCAAAGTGTACTATTGAAATAAAGTGTTACCAAAACATATTACCTTGATAGAGTCTCCTGGTAGTCCAGGTTCCCCCCGATCACCTTTTGGACCCATTGGTCCCTTTAAAGATATAAAAAAGATGTAAATAAATAAAAATGCATTATAAAACCGTTCTCACTTCTTACAGTTTCAGTCTGGCCCCACTGAAAATTCTGTTTTTGTTAAGCTTGCCTAAACTAATCAATGTTTGATTGTGATCTTTTAAATTTAAAAATTACAAAATTTGGTGTGCACTCTAAAAATAGTTTTAAAGTTAAAGCAGGAGATAAGATTTTTAATCTCCTGCTTTAACTTCAATTAAAAAAAATTTCTTTAAGTGCAGAACAATCTTTGTAATTTTTTAACATATATATTGGTCATGGCACCTAACTAGCTGGGAGAGCATGATGAATGCATTGATTGATCTTTTAAGTTTAAAATTAACATTTAAATATAAAGGTAAAGATATTACATCAGCTGTGGTAAAACGTATGTTATCCAAAATATAAAATACTTTTACAAATCACACACTGGTTACTATGCTAACAACAAAATTACAAGTCATTAAAAACTTACAGGGAATCCTGCCTGACCAGCTATACCAGGTGTACCCTAATAAAACAAGAACAAAACACAATGCTTTGAACGTGGTTCTATATTCATTATAATGCCAAAGAGATATTTAAATAGTAAATCATAATTACACAGTACATTCTATATTGAACTGCATGCAATTTTACATACTCAAGTTTATAAAGAGCTATTGTAACTAGACTTTATAATTTCCTTTCACCTGTGGTCCATTAATTCCATATTCTCCATTTTTCTGCAATTGAATGTATTAAAGTCATTCAGCATCAGAACTGCAAAGCTGTGAAAGAGCAGTAAAGTGTTATAGAGTTATACAAAGTCCTTTGATGGTTTACTGAATGATAACACTTACACTGCCATTAATATAGATCACTTGTCCTGGAGGACCTGGTGGTCCCGGAGGCCCTACTGCACGACCAGGATCACCCTAAAGACAAATATGTTATCATAAGTTTATTGCTTATAGGTCTGCAGAAGAGTTGCAGTGTTGAACTGGTTTAAATACCACTGTTGCTGTCTTCAAATGAACACTCACTTTGTCACCTTTCCACCCTCTTTCCCCTTTTAGACCCTGTAAAAAAGAAATAATTTAAAAGTTACAATATTGCTTTTCAAAGCTGATCTTCATCCTAGTAATTTTCACTCACTATTTTCCCTGGAAATCCATCTAACCCTGGGATTCCCTCTCGTCCTCTTTGACCTTCTTCACCTTTCTGACCTGGAATACCTGGATGAGGTGGAATAAGCCTTGAGGGTGCTGAATTTCAAAGATGAAGTAACTTACAGTAATTCGGAAGGCAGGTCCTGGCAGTCCTGGACGTCCTTGAGGTCCCATGGGCCCAAGTGGCCCTGCCATACCTTCTAGTCCTGGGATCTCTGATGAACCCTGTGGACCCTAAAGAGAATGGAATGGTATAGGAGGGTTTAAAACTGCAACTGCAAAAGTGTTCTAAAAAAAGCTTAAGTTGACTGTCTTTAGTTGACTAAATTGAAGTTTAATCATGAAATTGTTTCTTGATAGGTAATATGCCTTGTTTACAAAATCTGTCAACAATATATTATAAACTTAAAGATCAGTTAAAATAACCTATTAGACAGGTTTATGGGTTCACTTCATCAACATCCCATAGCACCAAACAATCATAATTTCGACATGGTGAAATATGACATACTAAAGCCTTTTTTGCTAAAATCACATGACATAGCCAATTTTATATGCACTCCAAACAACTGGTTCAAAACAATCTAATTGCAAAGTTTCAAAGCTTCATGCAGCAGTGTTTTGAATGCATCCATTAACAACAACAACAGCTGCAGCAGCAGTGTATACATATCTAGTCTGCTAAGACAAAATACAATAATTTGCCATATCCATTACCATGCTATAAGTTAATTTAGAGAGATGTCATGAACTACAGTAAATACCACTCAAGATAACAGTGTATTGCAGGTTATGTGAGCAATCCTCAATAGTCACAGTGTTGTGAAGATGAATGAAAAGGACAAGCAAGCAAGTTTGCATTGGCTAAACCGTAAGTCTTAAATGATCGATTCACTTGCCCTCATTGATTGGTAGGCTAAATTTTGACAGTGAAATGAAAGTTGTCTTTAGTGAACTAATGACTTTAAGAAGAACACTTTCATTCATTAGTCAAGTTCTTGTGACACACCACACCCAGTGAAGTTAATTTGTGGTCATGCATGACTTTAGAATACCTGCTCCCCGCTAGTCTCCCAGGTAGGAAACCAACTGGAGAAAAAAAGAGAGAGCAGAGAAGGGGCTTTGCTACAGGGAGCAAAACATATAGTGAAGATTAACTTCCCAATGAAAAAAAGCCCCACATATAAAAAAAATCTGTCTGAGATATGTGAATGTTTTAAAATATTTATAGTTTTAAAATACTTAAAATATTTCAGTATTCTGTGATTAAATCTTCACATCTTAATTCATTAAACATGCTATAGCATCACTTGTCTTACCGTTTCATCCTGCAACTCCAGGCAAGCCAAGCTCACCACAATCTCCCTAAAATAAAGAGAAAAAATTAATTGTTTGATTTCATTTTAATATCAGGTATATGAAAATACCTTTATAATTTAATTTACCCTTTGGCCTGGAGGACCAGGAAGACCAGAAGGACCAGGTTTTCCAGGTTGACCTGGGGGCCCCTGAGTCATAATAAACAGAATAAATAGAGCACAAACAAAATTCTACTAAATGTTTTAAAATGCATGGGATAAATGAAGAGAGGACAATTTCTTACAGGACGCCCAGTGAACCTATTTTGTCCAGGGGACCAGTGGGGCCAGTTTCAAATGATTCTAATTCTGATCCAGTTTCCCAATCTGGTCCTGGGGGCCCAGGTAGACAACATAAATCCTGAAAAGATGAGAACATATTAACTATAACTATAATACATAATAACAATAAGAATAAGAATCAATTCAAATTAGGCTAGTAGTGTTTGGCATAGATTAGCTGATTATTAAAACATACCGGCAATGATCCAGAACCCTCCAGAACCATTAATGTCTGAAGGGAGAACATTACAATATAAAACACAGATGTTTTAGCTCATTCAACAGGTTTCATGGTTTGCATACTGTAACAATATGTTTGCAAAAGAAAAAGAAAAAAAAAATCAAGAGAACAGCTTTTAAAAATGAGAAAAAAAACAATGTTCACGTCACCATGTCTTTGTTTTTTGTGTCACTACGAAAATGTTGGTGAACAACATTTTTTTGCTCCTCTGCTATGAGTTCAGAAAACAGTGTTCACACTAATTGTGCGAAATGTGTGAACATGCCCATAGTTCATAATAGGCTCTCAGTAGTTCCTTCTACTGTATGCACATTTTAGCTCCAAGCACATAGACCTGCACTAGATGTATTCATACTCACACTCCTGTCTGAGACTGAGGGTCCAGGACGTCCAGGTGGCCCAGGTGGGCCTCTAGGGCCTGGTTGTCCTTCCCCTTTCTGTCCCTAGAGATTCAAAAAAAGTCAAGACCCTGGTGAAAAATGTATGCTTTCGTTTTCATTTTTTGTTTTCTTGGTGCTAGCATGCCTTACCAAAATTCTGGTTAACAATTATTTTTCACCACCAACAAGACCTTAATCTCATTAAGAGAGCAATGACTATTAATTCCTTATTAGGTGCACATGACAGCCATATACTAAATTTGATTCATTTTCACAAAAAAATAATTTTTCTTTTTTTTAATTTAAATCTCAAAGCCCACCACAGACTGCCATAGTTAAACATATATGACCCTGGACCACAAAACCAGTCTTAAGTGGCTGGGGTATATTTGTAGCAATAGCCAGAAATACATTGTATGGGTCAAAATTATTGTTTTTTCTTTTATGCCAAAAATCATTAGGACATTAAGTAAAGATCATGTTCCATAAAGATATTTAGTAAATTTCCTACTGTAAATATATAAAAAATGTATTTTTGATTAGTAATATGCATTGCTAAGAACTTCATTTGGACAACTTTAAAGGCGATTTTCTCAATATTTAGATTTTTTTGCATCCTCAGATTGCAGATTTTCAAATAGTTGTATCTCGGCCAAATATTGTCCTATCCTAACAAACCATGCATCAATGGAAAGCTTATTTATTCAGCTTTGAGATGTATACATCTCAATTTCATAAAATAGACCCTTATGACTGGTTTTGTGGTCCAAGGGTCACATATAAGATGTAGTAAGGTTAATATTAAATAATTAATAATCAATAAAAATGAATAATTATTGAAAATTCAGATTTTGCAAACCACCTTCTGCCCTTTAGGTCATATAGAACCAGATGGTCCTTGAAAACCTCGAGGTCCATCAGGGCCCTGAATAGTAACACCAAATGAGAATGATTAAGTAATAAACACTGTCTAGAAAACTCACAGGTTTGCCATCCTGCCCTGGTTCTCCCTATAAAACATAAAAATGATGTTTCATTACAGACAATTACTCAACTTTCATTCATTCATTCATTTTAAGAGTAAAGAAATGACAAAGGAAGTTTATGTTACTCACTGGCTCCCCCTGTGGGCCCTCTGGACCTGGGCTCATATGTATAAAATTTCTCAGAAATGCTCTTAAGAATAGTCTTAAGCTTTGACTCAAGTGTCAAAAAATTCTTAGTTACAAGTAGGACTTTTCTAAGAGAAGGAATCTTTTATAAAGAAGCTAAAAGCAACTTTTAGTAAAGTCTAAGACTGATTCTTAAGTGTTGACTGAGGTGACACTTAAGTGTTGCAAACTAAGGACTACAATGATGTCAGCCCTAAATGGTCGCCCTCAACCTCTGAAACAGCCAATAGTGAGCCTGCTCATGTGAAGTCACAGCAGCACAACACCAATCATTTAATGTAACTACAATAAAATAATTTAATTAAGACACTGAAATATTTAAATATTTAAATGTATTTAAAAAATGCTTTGCATTGTGTAAAATTATCACAAATAGTTACTGATGCTTTGAAATTGTTTTCTATTGGACCACTGTATACAGTTGGCGCACTGATGTGAACATGAGTCCACAATCCTCATAAAAGTGGCTTGTTTTTGCAGCATGGCTTGACGGTCAGTTGGAAAGTCAAATAATTGCCATATAGTAGTGGCCAAAAGAGATGTCCGTTCTAGGAAATTTGTCATCTTCACAAAAAAAAAAAATGTGTTAAAGATTTTGTAAGCATATTGCATAGTTGCATAGAATCAATAGTTTTATTTGTGATAATAATGCAATGAAACATGCCGACATACCAATGCGGTCATAATTTTTGGCTATGCTGTCATACAAAGAAATTACGGACACATGCAAAAACAAGAGAGGACCAACAAAATATTAATAGTGATTTTGTCACTAGATTTAGTGACTTCCTTGCCCCTTTTGAGATTATTTTGAGAAAGCCTAGCAACAAAATACATTTATTGGACAAACCTTATCCAAGACTCACCCACTGAATGTATATTTATATAGATCAGTGAGCTCGCATTTATGAAGTAATCTA